AGCGCATTGTGGTGTAGCTCATCTGTATACATATAAGAAAACTCAGAAAACTCAGGTTTTGATTGTGCTAGGGCAACTTGGGACCATCTTTTTTATCTCAGCATCTCTCAAAGTTCTCTTAAGGACTTTGTCTTGATGTTAGTTTGCATTAAAACAAGGTAGATCAAAATGCCCCTAAACTTTTGTGAACTATCTAGATAGAAGCACACCGCCTTTCTTGAGAATTTGTGATCTTTCCACCCCTATAAAACATGTCACTTCCTTATTGGATGAGGTTTCTTCCAGAATACGGTGGAAACAGCTAGCTACGTTTTGGGGGATTGTTTAATTTTCAATATAGACTGGTAGAAGTGCCTGTCTTGCACAAAAATAATAGATAAATTAGAGCACTCACAGGAGATTTGATTAAGTTCCAGGGATGGATTTTTTTCTGTTTTAGAGATCCACATCCACAGGCTCTATCTATTACTAGATTATAAGCTTGTCTGATATGGGGGATATGGCGGTACTTTCAAACCTTTTACTATGCTGAAAAAAAGTTTGATACGAGTTGAAATTTGACCAGATGAAAAAGCAGCACCCAAAAATGACCATAGCTCTGTAGTCTTCTGCTTATGGCACTCCACATAAACTGTTGTAAACATATACAAACATAGCAAGGACCAGAATCCAAACTCCCTTTACCAAAAATATGAAGAGATGAATCCTTACTCAACCTAAATTTGCTGTTGTTGCTTTTGTGAGGACAGAAACTTAACTCCGTTCACTGACTAACCAAAGGCAATTTGGAATAGCAAAGTGCCTGAACCAAAACAAGAGAACAAGGACAGATAGACTGGCATGGAGAAGATATGCACTGGAAAGGAGCAGATTGGGATGAGAAGCTTGTTGAAACTCAGCCTGGGAAGAAAAATCAGCTGAAGGTTTGATATCAGAGGAGTCGGTCTCCCACTACAACCACAGATGTGATACAAGTTGAAAAAAAAGGACTTGTGGCACATGTACTTGATAAGTGAAGGTCTGACCACTAGCACAGCTGTAGCTGTGATCTACAGTTACATTGTCACTGTCACTACAATTTACAAACTGCAAACTATGTGTTTACGATCTGACTCTGGCTAGCACTTCAGCAGGTTTGCAGTCAAGATCAGTCACTGCCCTGAAGCCTCTTCACTGCTATCATTATCTGTGCTGTGATTCCTCCAAGAAGAGCATAAACAAACATGTAGTGTCAACCCAATTATCTGCAGAACTCTGTCCTGGCAGCCTGTGTTTCTTTGGAAACACTCATAACTGTAACTGCCTTTGTACATATGAAGTTGATAATGCTATTTCTACCTCTGAACTTTCCCACTTTGTATTTAGCTGAATTACCAATCTCTTGACTAATTCCTCATTTAAGATGGTCAATAATAATAACACTACAATGCTTCCAGCTTTTTTATCACTAGCAGGCATTGCTAAAAAATATTTTTAAGGATCATATCTCAGTTTTCTTTCCAGTACTTACCTACAGCACAGAGAGATATCTCCAGCTAAATATTATACTTTGTCACATAATTCCTATTTTTGTGGCTACTCTGAAATAAAGCTATATATGCAATATCATATTATTTTACTCTGGCTCATGGACAGGAAAAATGTTCATTAGTATCAGATTTTTGATGGCAAGAAACACAACCACTAAAACATTAAAAATCTTGGTAGTTATTGTAGGAAGATTTTTCCAAGAGGGGCTAGTACTATCATACCATCAAAGCCTTGTCTCAGTTTAACAGACATGTCATTGAAGAGTAAACTGTTTCCAATGAAGCCTGAAATGCTAGAATTTGAGAGTGTTGTAGAAGCACTTTTGGGGTTTTAAATATTTGAAATTTTTCAAAACTGATTTTGTTGTGCTGATATTTAAGATATTAGAAATTATAGAACCTGTAGAGGATAGTTATTCAGTTATATAGGTGGAAAAAAACAGTTTTTCTTTTGTACTGACTGACAGCCAGAAAATACAGAATCTGGAATTTCCTAAGAAAGTTTTTTTCAGATATAAAATACTCATTTGTGGAAATAAATATTTTTCACAAAAATGTGCATCAGTTTTGCCAAGGATAGAATTTCTGCCCAAAAAGAAAGACTAATTTCAGAAAAAAGGAATAGCCCAACATTAAGCATAAATCATAACCTACAAATGGAATTCACTCTCTGCTAAAATAAGAAGAGACATTTAAATTTCTGTCTCTCAAAATCCAGCTGGGTATCCTTGCTGTCTGGCATTTTTTGGTGGGGTGGGGGCGAAACTGGTTGTTAGTTCCATTCTGATGTAGCATCGGACACTTCCTAAAACCTTGAAATTTTTACAAGACACAGATTTTTCCATCAGGCTCTTCCAGGACTTCACCTACTGTGAGACTGTAAAAAAGCTGCCTATTCTGAGAATACCTGCTGCATTAGGTTTTAAATTATATCTGCAGAACAATTTACACAGAACTTTCTATGACAGCCCTTTCTAAAATGACACTTCCCAGCACAGTACAGACAGAAATTACATACTGCATGTCAGAAGTACCTCCAGCCAAGCCTTTTTCCATAATTGTAATAAAGAAATCAAGTTTGTCTAGGAGATAACCACTCTTTTCTTTGGCATATTGAAAGTGGTTAGCTCATTAGGTCACAGGCAGGCACTGTAATAGTTTCAACTAAAATTCACTTTCAATTTATCATTGCACCTCTGACTGTTTATATAAACCAAGAATCAATCTTTATGTTTGTTCTCCTTTGATGTGTAAACATAGTATATTTATATAACTGTAAAATCTATTTTTAACTAGAAGTGAACTGGAAAAATGAATTCATCATTTGTGTTAAGAGTAATTGATAGACCCTTTTCCCTATTTTGGGATCTTTAGTGGAGTATGGATTTTAAGACATGATGTCAAGTACTCTTATTTCTTCAAGATGAAGTCTGTATTTTCTAATATGCTAGTGAACTGACATGAGTATCATAAACACATTTTTGTACTTTCACCTAAAACATCCTGTTGCAGATTATATCTATCATAATTTGTCAGACCAATTCAAGATATTGGTCTTAATCTAAACATTGAAATAAATAATTTTTGTTGTCGATCCCTTAGAACACGATGTTCTCTGCTGCATTCTGAAGTAAATGTGAATGATCTAACAGATTAGCTGACGACTTGAAAGATTGCATACAGTGATGACAACACTTTATAAACTGAATTTACTGGTTTATCATTTGAAGACTTTTCACTACTTAATTTCTTTCCTTTCTTCCATAAAAAGAAAAATAGAAAAAAAATCAAAACTATCTCTGCTTTGATTTTCATGGAAAGAAACAATCTAGAAAGAAAATCTGTCTTTTCATGAATTAACCTAGTAGAAATATATTCTTTTTTGTACCCACAATTAAAAATCTTATTAGTTCTCAGAGCAAGAAAGGTGAGATATTGTAAGGCTGATTTTTAAATTTAAGTACAATGATAAGTGTCACTGTCTTAAAACTTACATCATTCGTGAAATTAATCTCTCCTTATAAAAAGAAAAGAGATATCAACTAACCAAACTAATTTTATTCTATTTTCCAAATGCATCTCTCAATTTTATAACACACTTTACATATATCTTACATTTTAAAAAAAGACTGAAAAAAAAAGTTTTTTTAAAATTAAGAAGTGACTCCAAAATGGCATATATGTTAATCAAAGGAATGTTTAAAAATAACTAAGCTATTGGTGATACATATTTAAGTAAGAAAAATTCCCCTTAAGAAATATTTTTTGAAACAAATTCTTAAAAATGAGGAATTAGTAACCATAGCATTCTTATTGTAAATCAAGATAATTCTGACAGCTCTGTACCTTGCCAAATGCCTAAAATGATAGATAGAAAGTGAAGTAGAAAACAGCTACTGAAAGGAGAAAGGAATATAAAAGCTCCTTCTAAAAAGATAGGGCAGTACTCATTGTTATTCAAGCACATAAGTTGCCATATCCTGTTTCTATTGACTGCAGTGGAAGCTTTAGCATTGACTTTAAACAGGTGCAAGTCCCACGAGACTCAAGGGAATAAAACGTACAGTCACGGTATGAAAGCAACAGTGTATAAAGTGTGGTGAGACAGGATATGTAATTCCAATCTGGTAGACAAGAATCTGACAAAGCTATTTAAATGCAGTGCCAAGTAAGGATGCAACTGAAAAAACAGACATTTCTAAGCAGAAGTTTGGCAGGCCTCCATTCAATGCTACAAGAAAAGCACAGGAAAAATGTTACAGAAATGTGAGTGCTAAGTTATAGTGGGGGGAGAAAACAAGGGAGACCCAGAAGCAGCAATAAGCGTCATCCTGTTCTGTAGCAATACAATATCACTTGTTGAGGACACAGCTGCTGGCATGCCTTGGTAGATGATGCAGACTGGTCTACTCTGAGAATTGGGACTTAGACCCAAGTATATTACCCATTTTTATTTATTCTCCTCTGTATTATCACAAGCATTGAAAATGTTTGGGGACTTTTTTTTTAATTTACATAATCTTCAAAGAGGTCTTATACTATACTCTTACGTCAGTTGAGTTATGCATGATGTTCTCAATTAATTCTATAAAGAAAGTAGCTGAGATATCATTATATTAATTAGAAGTTGTTAAATATAGAGTACTTATCCCAAAGGAAACTATGTGACTTCAAAATTTATTTACAGACTGGATCAGAAGAGAAAGCTGTGCAATACAAAAACTGTCTAAAATGGGGGTAATAAGCATCAAACATTCTCAATATTAAACTCATCTAGAAGATTATTACAGCAGGATGACCAAACACTCACATTTAATTTTAAAGCCTGATTTTAAGGTAAAAACAAAGACTAAAGGTAAAAACTATGAAGGAAACAAGGCAAGACTAGAAATTAATGTAGGAGTTAAGACAGAGAAGAGATTAAGCAGCTCTTCTGTAGTTAATGTTTTATGATGAAAAGGTAAACAATACCTGTGCAAGCATAGGAAATCCAAGGTTCCTGCATCCATTACAAGGTGTCAATGCCTCCCACAAACCTGAAGGACCACAAGTATTTTCACCTGCATCATCATCTTCCTCCTCTCTTGATGATAAACATGTTGAAGAAGGTCTCTGCGCATAAAGAAACAGCACTTTCAAATTAAAGACAGCAATATATTGTAAAGAAACATTTTATTTAAAAGAACTTCAAGGATACCCATTTATAAATTATAAAAGATAAACTATTTTAATAGAAAGTAACTACTCAACTGCCAATCTGCTGTATGAAAATCACAATTCTAAGGAAGGTATATATTGACAGTTTCCATTTATGTTATTTTGCTACACAGGATAGTCGACTTCAACTGCATGAACTGTAGTTGCAACTTTTATTGATTTCTGGAGAAGGAGGCAAGTTAAGCCAGTAATGAATGATTTTTAAAATCTTATGTTAAAAAAAAAATTATGAGAACAACAACAAAAAAGTAGATTTTACTCACACCTTAATTCTTTGTCCATATTTAAATTGGAATATGTAATAGCTGTTCTAGCCTGCTTGACATTTTTTTGTGCAAGCTACCTGATATTCAGATACTAAATGGTGTCTTTAGTAATGCTTGTCTTAAACAATCTTTCAGAAGTTGCTGGATTTTTGCCTGACCAACATAATGCTGTTTGAGACAAAGGCCCGCCACATATATTAATGTGGTAACATTAGCTCTAAAGCACTGCTATGAGTAACCACTTAACTGCAGATTATTTTAGCCAATAGAATAAAGAAACACATGGAGTCTGCTGCAAGAAAGGGAATGCAGAAGTAAAGGAAAAGTAAGGGGCAAAAAGAAGCGGAGAAGCAGCAGCAGTTCTGAAGATGTACACAAACTGATGGATACTGTAAGAGAAGCAAAGGCACCGCACAGACAGGTACTAACTCAAATTGTGTAACATCTGAGAATCACTTAATTTTTGACTCTTGTGCTAACTTCTTATACACAGGCTTGGGAAGGAGCGGCTGGAACATTGCCCAGCAGAAAAGGACGTGGGGGTGTTGGTCAACAGCCGGCTGAACATGAGCCAGCAGTGTGCCCAGGTGGCCAAGGCAGCCAATGGCATCAAAGAGTGTGGCCAGCAGGAGTAGGGAAGTGCTTGTGACCCTGTACTCAGCACTGGTGAGGCCACACCTAGAGTACTGTGTTCAGCTTTGGGCCCCTCACTACAAGAAGGACAATGAGTTGCTGGAACATGTGCAAAGAAGGTTTAATGAAGCTGGTGATGGGCCTGGAGAACAAGTCTTATGAGAAGCAGCTGAGGAAACTGGGATTGTTTAGTCTGGAGAAGATGCTGAGGGGAGCCCTTATTGCTCTCTACAACTACCTGGAAGGAGGTTGTAGTGAGGTGGGTGTTGGTCTGTTCTCCCAAATAACAAGTGATAGGACAAGAGGGAACAGCCTTAAGTTGTGCCAGGGGAGGTTTACTTTTTATTTTAGAAGTCAATTCCTAAAACATTCTTAGCATGATATTTCAGGAGGTTAGTTTGACAATCAAGTGGTACCACAGAATGTGTTTCCATAGCAACCAATATTCTTACACAGATTATTTAAAGGATTGGGTTAACTGCAGAGGGGTTATACAGGACTATTATTGCTATGTATTTGCACAGACAAAGGAAGCAGACTACAGATCCTTCTCTTCTATTTATTATGTCATCTTCCATGGTGGTTGCACTACATTTATACTTTAAACCTCTGACTTGTTGTACCAGAGAATGAAGTGCTTCTTGCCCCCTGGAGCAAAAAGCAAAGAACTGCAGGAAAACAGGTAACACACATTTGCTGTGACCTTACAAACCAATATAAGTGAATGAAGACAAAAGTCACACAAAAAAGTCTAGCCAATGCATTTCCTAAACGTAAAAAATACACACATGTAATATCAGCAAGAAATTTTTAACAGAACTAAAGGAAGATGAATAATGAAATTCAATACATTTGACTCATTCAAGGGAGAACGTGTGAGTATTTAGCCATTACAGGAACAGAGTAGAAAAAAGTCATAGCAAAAATGTTACCGAATAATGGAAAAAATACACAAGCAGAATGAAAGAGAGTTGTATTATTTCCATTAGATTGATTTTATATAAATAGCCTAAGATAGAGTGGAGATCACACAAATTTAAATTAATGTTGTCAATATGAATTAGAAGAAGCAGGACATATTATATAGGCAGATCTCCTGCTGATTCAAAAAAGGACCAGTTGATGTCAGAGTTGATTAGACACACTATTGGAATAAATTGACTAGTCCTCTTATACAACAAGACAATCCAGGTATGAATTACATGATACAGACTAATTCACAGACTACTGCAGACTAGAGTTGGCTCTTTTTATACTTAATGACTGATTTCTGTCTTCTTGCCCAGATTCTTGCTACTAATAAAGCACTAAGAAGGAAGCATTAAGAGAAATGTCTGTGAAGGGTCAAGAAATAGTTCATGTTATCACCTTTCTCACCCACTCCTGCTGCCAGAAGCCCAGTTCTTCCCAGACAACAAGCACCAAGAGGTAAGTGGGAGCTGATGCAGGAAGAGAACTGTATTTGCAAATCTGCAATCAATCCATAGACCTCAGACTGTCACACAAGCCCATAAAACTCCCAACTCAGATCACCCACTTTCCTGCTATTCTCTCTCAGCCATCATTCCTTTCCCAGAACTCCTTAATTTAATTTTGCCTCCTCAGAGTTCCTTTGGACATGAAAATCTAATTCTGCATGTGCTGCTGGGAAGCCTTGAAATAGCCCTGTGGGGAGAGTTTTAGTGAAACTAAAGTTATTTATGCCCACTTCTCAAAAAAAAGAAATAAATAAATAGAGAGAAAGAAATTTCTGTCACCTAAAGGAAAATAGACACAATTGAGAACCTTTTATTCATGCCAGGTTGGAGACCAAAAAGAAAATGTAGATGTAGTTAGAATATACCACTTAGATCATAGTTGCTCAATTAATTGAATTTGACATTCTGAAGTGGTGAAGTCAAACTATAACACTAAGCTTCAAAAAGGCCAACTCTGCCTAAGCTAGAAGACACATGAGTATAAGCATCATATATCCTCAAGCAAAACAGACAGAAAACCTTAAAAGGTAATAGATATCATGTGCAAAAAAGGAAAAATTGTTAGGGAAACCACAAGACATTGATACAGAATAAAATATTTCATAAAAGTTCTGTTTTTTACTGGAACACTGAACTAAGTATTAAAAATTGCTTATAGCAGTAAGAGACTAACAATATAATTCCCATATACATAAAAAAGAAAGAATAATAATATAGTAATAAAGGAGTAGTAAGATCTAGCATAAGGACATTTGACCATTACAATTAGTGGCAAGTTTTCCTCAGACTCTACTGAGCCTGACACATTGCCTCTGATTTTCACATCTGATGAGCATGTACACTATACTTTTGAAAATTTAAGTATGGAGGTCTTCCTCTTTGTGTCTGTCTACACAAAAGGCAAAATTTGCCCAGTAGAACATTAGAGTGAAGGATACTTTATTCTGTAAACAGTCTATTTATTCCCCCAGTATATGTACGTACATCAGATTTGCTGTCACAATAACTTATATTTATCATAATAACTCCTAACACAATAATTCTCTCCTGATCTAAGAGAGTAATCCAGTATTCAGCAACAGACAGAATGATGAGTACAGACAAAAAAACCTAGAAAAATTCTGTTCCACTCTTAAAAGTCAACAGGAAAAGAAAAATAGAGTACCTTTAAATCTTGCCTAGTTCACAGCTCAAGAAGCTTTATGCTATATATAAAACATACATAAAGTTTTGGCCTTCCTTTTTATAGATGTCAATGATTTCCTGACTACCATATGGCCCCATTATCTAGACATGCTTTCTTTATGAATACAAGTCATACAAACCCCCTTATTTCCTTTTACTCCCTCTGTTTCTCGTTGTCTAATATTCTAATTTTACATTATACTAAGAACTAAGATAAGGAAACCGTTCCTGAGTATCCTCTATAAATTAGGATGAGCAGGTTGCTCTCTGCTGCTGCTGTTGCCAGCAGCTGTGGCAGCCAAGCCAGGGACAGCAGAGCTGGGATAGTGTTCCTGTGCTCTCAGCACTCCCCCTGCTGCTGCCCAGGCTGCTCCCAGAGGAAAACGCCTGATAGATGCAGAATAAGAAAAAGCAGCCTTGGGGCACGAAATGTAACACCACTTGTTACCATTTTTCCACAGCAGGACCCCTACATTAACCCAATGTACCTTTCTGGGATTCATTAAGGATCCTGACAAGGAGAATCCCTGTGTACAAGACACATGCTATGTCTTACAGATGAACGACAGTGAAACGTTTTGGTGGCCTGGGCACACCTTTCCCACATGCCTCAATGCAGCCTTCTCCCTGCTTAGTGTTTTTCCATTTCCCATCCTAATTATCTTGTCCTTCACCTTTGGTTGCAGATGAGCAGTGTTTCTTTAACAAATATGTTCCTAGCTTACATTTCTTTCATCATTTCATTTGCTATGACCCTGGTTAGTGTGATTGTGCCTCCTTTAATCAGCAATGGAATACCAGGAGAACAAGGATTGTATGTACCTAAGGCAGCTGAACAATGGAGAAGTGTATTCTATACCTGCCTCTGCCATAGTCTCTGTGGGATGCTGGGCATGTCATTTAAACTTCTCCAAGACGGTCACTTAGTTTGTATTCCTTCCTGGCTAGATTGAAATTATGAAAGCAAGTTTGCAGAAGTACCAAGCTACATGAGGAAGAAGCATGAGACACACTGTGACCATTTTCAGTGGTATGTGAGACTAAGTGCTCTGAAAATCCAAGCTCTAGCCATCCCAGAGAGGGAGAATCTTGACCTCTACACCAGTACACATCAGTCAAGCTGCATGTGATACTATTTACTGACTGGGGCTCCATAAAAAAAAACAAACAAACAAAACCCACCACTTTTCTGAAGCAGCCACATGCTCTGAGCTCAAGCACAAGTAACATCTGAATCTGGTAAGAAATTACTGTAACTTGGAGGCAGCAGAGTCATGATAACTGACTATATATAACAACAGTAAAATGTATCAACTTTAGGCAAACATGATTA